GCCTTTGGAGTGAGTGAGTTGGAGAGAGAGGAGTTGAAATGTCAGCTCTACCACAAACATGCCCTTTGGTTTGAAAGAAGGTCTTGGCTGTGGGCGCTTGAATGTTTTTAGAAGCGAGTTAATGTTCTGAATTTGCAAATAACAATCTTTTTGTTGCTGTGAGCACACAAGTTGGTGTGCGTGCGTGCGTGCGTGCGTGCGTGCGTGCGCGAATACAATGGCTCCATAAGGGCCTCATCGGGCACAGAGAGGAACTTACCCCCCCTCACTGGATTAATTGATTAATTAAATGTATGAAATGGCAACGACATCTCACACCCACCAGAAGAAAAACACCAATGAGTGTGTGATGAATAGACCTTTGGGTTACTGTGTGGAATCAAATTTGAACTATTGGGTGATTCCTAGGGTTAGCACACACAGAAGCTCCATATCTCACCCTGCATTTGTGTTTTTGTGTGGGTTTAAATAGTGTGTGTGTGTGTGTGTGTGTGTGTGTGTGTGTGTGTGTGTGTGTGTAAAATATGGAAGCCCATCTGTAATCAGCCAAGTGTGATATTGCTCCTCATCTCTCAATTAGAACACTTACAAACACTGCATTAAGCTTTGCATTGGAAGGGATGATGGCGGAGGTAGAAAAGAAGACGCTTTCTCGTAACAGCTCAATTATGTCTACCGAGACGATATGTCTCTTGACTTCGTAGTAAAATGTGTTCCTGCCATACTGGGAGCATCAAAGTTAAATACATAAGTTTGTCCCAAGTGGATCATTCAATCATAGCCACGTTGACTTCTAGGATTCAGTTTGCATAACATGAAACCGATAAAAATCATGTGCAAATACCAGTGCTGGTTATAATGTATACTGCAGTCCATCTGAGGGTTGACTACTCGTACGTGATTAGAGGTGACAGCTCCTGATTGGTGACGTCCAGGTCATAAACTGTAGGAGGAACCTAGGGAGGTGTGTGTGTGTGTGTGTGTGTGTGTGTGTGTGTGTGTGTGTGTGTG